CACCTGTCATTCCTGATCACACGCTCCTGTCACACACCTGTCATTCCTGATCACACGCTCCTGTCACACACCTGTCATTCCTGATCACACGCTCCCGTCACACACGTGTCATTCCTGATCACACGCTCCTGTCACACACGTGTCATTCCTAATCACATGCTCCCGTCACACACGTGTCACTCCTCACTCATGGAGGCCAATCACATGCTCCCGTCACACACGCGTCATTCTTCATGCATGGAGGCCGATCACATGCTTCTGTCACACCCCTGTCATTCCGCACACAGGGACGCCGATCACACGCTCCTGTCACACCCCTGTCATTCCTCACGCAGGGAGGCCGATTACACGCTCCTGTCACACACGCGTCATTCCTCACGCAGGGACGCTGATCACACACTCCTGTCACACCCGTCATTCCTCACACAGGGAGGCCGATCACACGCTCCTGTCACACCCGTCATTCCTCACCCAGGGACGCTGATCACACACTCCTGTCACACCCCTGTCATTCCTCACGCAGGGACGCTGATCACACACTCCTGTCACACCCGTCATTCCTCACGCAGGGACGCCGATCACACGCTCCTGTCACACCCCTGTCATTCCTCACGCAGGGACGCTGATCACACGCTCCTGTCACACCCCTGTCATTCCTCACGCAGGGAGGCCGATCACACGCTCCTGTCACACACGTGTCATTCTTCATGCAGGGAGGCCGATCACACACTCCTGTCACACCCCTGTCATTCCTCACGCAGGGACGCCGATCACACGCTCCTGTCACACCCCTGTCATTCCTCACGCAGGGAGGCCGATCACACGCTCCTGTCACACCCCTGTCATTCTTCATGCAGGGAGGCCGATCACATGCTCCTGTCACACACGTGTCATACCTCACACAGGGAGGCCGATCACACGCTCCTGTCACACCCCTGTCATTCTTCATGCAAGGAGGCCGATCACACGCTCCTGTCACACAGGTGTCAATCCTGACACACCCATGTCCAGGGACACGGCCAGCACGTTCCCAGCAGCACTGCTCACTTCTAAGAGTCCCCAACTGGAAACCACCCAACCTCCATCATCAGTAACGTGGATCATTAGTGGCGGTGCTGCCACACAATGAATACCACACAGCAGTGAGCGTGAGCCCACCCCGCTACTCCCCATACACGAAGACCTTCAAAAACGCCAAACAACACACACTACCTGGTGAATTCACGCAATTTTCAGAAAAGCAAAACTAATAAGGTCCCCTTGAAAGATCTGATCTTTGAGTCCGGACGATGGTTAGTTCTGTAGGAAGTGGTGACTGAGAAGAAGGTACAAGGAATGTTCTCGTCAAAAGCTGGCTGGTGGCTACTTGATGAAAATTGATGGAGCTGCACATTTATCATTCGTGTAATTTGGTGCACATTTGATATGTCAATAAATAAGTCTGTTAAAAACATCACAAAGAACGTGCACAGCTGAGCGAGTGGCAGGCGCCTGCAGTCCCAGTTACGTGGGACGCTGAGGCCCAGGAGTCTGAGGTTGCTGTGAACTAGGACGCCATGGCACCCTACTGAGGGTGACAAGGTGAAACTCTGTCTCAGAAAAAAACAAAAAAGATTTCTAATATTATTCTATAAAGACAATCTAAAAGGTTTAATTTAGAATTTTTTTTCACTCTCTAATATTTCTGATTGTGAAAATTCCTTTTGGTAACTAAAACAAAACTTGTCTGGGCACTGATGGAAAGGGAGGAAGAAGCAGGCCAGCCTGACCATAGGGCTGACCGCTATGTGCTGGGGACAGCCGAGCCCTCGTCTGTAGCTCTCATTACAGACTCCTCTCCATCTTCCTGGTCAAGACACTAACTTAGATTTCTTCTTTTTTTTTTTTTTTTTGAGATAGAGTCTCAAGCTGTTGCCCTAGGTAGAGTGCTGTGGCATCACAGCTCACAGCAACCTCCAACTCTTGAGCTTACGTGATTCTCTTGTCTCAGCCTCCCAAGTAGCTGGGACTACAGGCACCTGCCACAACGTCCAGCTACTTTTTGGTTGTAGTTGTCATTGTTGTTTAGCTGGTCCAGCTGAGTTCAAACCCACCAGCCCCAGTGTACGTGGCCGGCGCCCTACCCACTAAGCTATGGGCACTGCCCCACTAACTTAAGAGTTTAAAGAAAATGTACATGCCAAAATTTCTAGGGTAACTACCAGAATAAAAACAGAGTATAATTTCTAAAGTAACAGAGGAAAAGAAATAGAATAATTGAAGGAAAAAATGTCAATACAAAAGGATTCCGCAATTATATAGACACGAAGAAAGGAGGAGGAGGAGGAAAAAGAAGAGCAAGCAAGAAAAAGAAATACAGAATTGGGTGGCACCTGTGGCTCAAGGAGTAGGGGCACCGGCTCCATAGACCAGAGGTGGTGGGTTCAAACCCAGCCCCAGCCAAAAACTGAGAAAAAAACAAACAAAGAAAGAAAGAAATACAGAATAACAGGACACATAGGAAAAAATAAAATGACAAATTTAAATCCAAATATATCCATATATATTAAATAGAAAAGGACTACATATTCCAGTTAAAAGACAAAGATTGGGCTTGGCGACTATAGCTGGCTCGGCACCTATAGCTCAACTGGCTAAGGCGCCAGCCACGTACACCTATGGTGGCGGGTTCGAATCCCCAGCCCGGACCTGCCAAACAACAATGACGGCTACAACCAAAACATAGCCAGGCGTTGTGGCGGGCGCCTGTAGTCCCAGCTACTTGGGAGGCGGAGACAGGAGACTCACTTGAGCCTAGGAGTCGGAGGTTGCTGTGAGCTGTAATGCCACGGCACTCTACCCAGGGGGACAGCTTGAGGCTCTGTCTCAAAGAAAAAAAAAGACAGAGACTGTCAAACTCGTTTAATAAACTATAAGCTGTATTAAACTGTGTACTTTATATAAATGGGGAAATCATAAGGTATGTGAATTGTATCTCAATAAATTTGTTTTTAAAAACTATACGTTGTCTACAAGACACACCTAAATGCAGAAAGATTGAATCACTAGGCAAGCAACAAGAAAAAAAATCTTCTCCCAAGAAGACAGATAGCCAATAAACACATGAAAAATTGCTCCTCCTCCCTCATCATCAGAGAAATGCAAACCAAATCTCCTGAGATGCCACCTAACCCCAGTGAGAATGGCCTACACCACAAAGTCCCAGACGCTGCAGACGCTGGCGTAGGTGTGGAGAGAAGGGAACTCTTCACACTGTTGGTGAGTTTGCAAACTAGTACGGCCTTTTTGGAAAGAAGGATGGAGAATCCTCAAAGACCTCAAAATAGACCTTCCATTTGATCCCACTATCCCAATCTAGGTATCCACCCAGAAGAAACAAATGCATTTTATCATAAGGGCATTTGTACGTGAACGTTTACAGGAGGTCAATTCATAATCTCAAAGAAGGTGGAAGTGACCCGAGTGCCCATCAACCCGGGAATGGATTAATAAACTGTGGTCTGTGTACACCATAGAG